ATAGGAAAAACGTAGTGGCTACAGCTGTCGCTGTTAAAACTGTTTTAGCTAGGAGGCAATATGTGAAGCAGTTAGCGACTCTATACAACGTCACTAATAAAAGCATAAAAATTCATCACCTTAACTACCACAATTACAAATATGTTCTAACCGAATGGCTATTTCTCAAGAGCTACGGTGATACTAAGACTCTTTTAGGTAATATGAAATAATGTAATTTAATTATGACACAAACACACACACACACACACATACACACACACACACGCACACGCACACGCACACGCACACGCACACGAACACGCACACACACACACACACACACACACACACACACACACACACACACACACACACACACACACACACACACACACACACCCATTCACTCAGACACACACGCGCGCGAGCGTACATATACCTTTGGCGTGAATATTATTATTTTTAATTTAAATTTTATAGTTAATTATTATGTGATCATGCAAATAGCAATTTAAGTGCTATGGAAGAGTGGTATTTCCTAACACAAGTTTTTATACTCTAAATATAGAGACCTCATTCCCGGTTATAATTTATGTATGATCATTTACTGAATAACTATTTATTATTATTACTAAACCAATAATAGAAAAATTTACTACTTTTTGTAATACTTTATTATAAAATCTAAACAAAAAATAAAAACCTGTTCGGCAGACAAACCCGAATGAGTTATTTAACTTATCGATAGCTAGCTAAAGTTGTGGCGTACATCACTAAATTGCAGTACGTGGTAGAGCCATGCTGCAGTTATATTAGTATTATACTCTCATAGAATACCAGCATGAAATAGTAGCTTAATGCTGCTGTGTTTCGTATGGTGAATGTAGAGAACCGGAGACCCTTTTTACTGGAAACGAGGCATTCCATCTTGGTCCTCACGGGTGACAACGCATCTGCATTTTGATTCGTAATCGAGGATAGATGTAGACGTCTATGGGCCACAGCAACCACTTACCATCAGGTGGACCGTAGACAGAGAAACCTATAGACAAATTGACGCCTTCTTTCGCATTCGCACACGAAAAAGATAGATTTATGCATACGTCTTGCATAGAAATGAGATAGAGCGGTGTGATTGTTTGTCCCTTTCACCGTGGTTTTTTTGTTTAGCAAACTCTACAGTTTGCTAAACAACTTTGAAAGCGTAGCGATTTAAGGAGTTTACAAGTTGGTTTAAGCGAGAAAAAGTGTTTTGTGAGCCTAAGATTGGTGAATCTTGTTCAGTTCAGTTCTTAGAACAATTAAAATTTTTATCTAAATGTGTTTAAGTCATAAAGATTATTGTATAACCTAAAAATTCGTTATCGTCCTTTCTCACTCGAGGCCACGCCGATCATTAGTCTATAGGTTTCTCTGTCTACGAGGTGGACTGTGTGCTCGTTTGTCGCCCTATCCTATAAAAAACTTTCGGTTGCAGTGAAACCAGTTTAACTGTACAAAAATTGCATACATTTGCTACGAAGTAGCAAGTTTCGACTCGACTTATTCGGCCTTTATTTTGTATAATATTTTGTTAAAGACTAGTTATCGATTATATAAAATTATAATATATTCAGAATCGTGTTGGGATTGAGCTGAATATTTAAATCATTTGGAAAAATCTACTACACATCTTAATGTAATGATTATTATTCATCACAAACTGATTTAGTTGATATGAAATAAATTTTCGTTAATATATTTATTTTGTGCAGTAAATTATATTTATTTAAAAATCGCTTACTTTTCACTTCATTAACTATGCTGATAACACTTGGAAAATACGAGTTTTACCGGTAATATTATATTAAAAGTATTCACAGATAAAAAGGCATGTTGTCCTTTTGTAGATTTGACGGTTTTGATTGGTTTTTTCATGAAAATACACTGCAATTCGGCATTTTTGTCGGAGCTCAATTGACTGGCACGATCACTTGGTAATGGCGCACGACGCGTAGTAACTAGTTTTATATAACGGCTATGAGTCGGGCTCTCGATGTATATCAGTGCGAGCCGTGATAGCTTAGATGGTTAACGCTCGGTGTAAATATAACAGAACACGAGTAACCCGGGATCGATCCCCCCGGCACCAATGAAATTATTAATTGCAATTTTAAGTCCTGATTTACCACTTGCTCGGTGGTGAAGAAAAACATCGTGAAGAAACCTGCATGTCTGAGGAATAAGAGAAAAGAATATTTCGAAGACATGTGAAGTTCGTCAACACGCGTTGGGGCAGCGTGGCGGACAGTTCCTTGTCCTAAAATCCTCTCAGAAATGAGGGGAGGCCTGTGCCCAGCAGTGGGACGTATATAGGCTGTAACTTTACTTTACTTTACTTTTATGCCTTTCGATGTCGTCTCCTTTGGTTTAATATTCAAAGATTTTCACTGAGGCCCGTACAAACATAAAGCACTCACTCGTCTTGAAATTTGAATCCAGGCATTTTGGATGCAGTGACACGAGGACAGTCACAACATATCTCGGACCGTAAAAGAACATTTTTTTAAACTTTAATTCGAATGTCGATTGCTTTGCAAACATTGTATCGTTACATTTACATCTCACTAAAGTTTACTGCGGAATATAGGCATCCCCATAGATTGCCACATAGGGGGATGTTTGCTACAGCTACCACTCATGGCAAGCGGTTTTTTAATTTTAATAGTTATTGGGTGCGTTTGGCAGAAAAAAGCGCTAGCAAGCGCTTACTAGCGCTAAAATAGTTTTCGGGCAGGACACGATTGCTACTTCAGTAGCGCTGACACAATCCGCCATTTTGCTTATTTAATTTATTTGTTTTGTAGTAGAGTTTATAAGTTGTTTCTTGCAATATTAGTTCTAAGTAATATAATGACATGAATAGACATATACATGTTATTAAAAATTCATGATTGGTAAGTTTTTAATATGAATACTTCACAAAACATATATTTAAATTAGGTTAGGCTCCCCCGGTTAAAAATAACTTCGTGTCCTAGAGGAAAATAGCTACTTACGATTTGACAGCGCTTACCGCTTACGATCGCCATTTTGCTTACAAGCGCTTGCTAGCGCTTTTTTCTGCCAAACGCACCCATTATGAAGACACTGCTGCTCATCTGCCATTTGTTTCCCTCTGTCACCTCTTACGACACTTAAGGGAATGTAAAGTGTGTAAGTAAGTGGTAAATAGTAGATACCTATTCTTATAACGCCACTACTCGCTAAACATTATAAGTCAATTATTATTACATTTAATATGACTTTATAAATTTTTCGTTTATTATGTTCATCAATATTGTACACTAGACAAATTTCTTCGTCTGTTTGTGAACACAAAGGCAAAAGTATTCAGAACAAAGTTAGTCTTGAATATAACTTCACCAGCTGAAGACTACTTTTACTACTAACTTCATCGAACCTGTTATAAGCTAGTTTGCAAGAGCTTTTATAAGCTTTTAAGTTCACTTGTTAGGTTTGTCAATAGGTTTATAAAAAAAACATGTTAAATATTATTGCGTTTATGAAATACTTTAAGTTTTTTAATCTTTATCGGCCCATAAAATTTTGGACATATGCCTCTCCTATTGTAGGGAAGATTTGCCTTAAATCGTCACGCTTAGAAGACGGATGGATAGTTGCGGTATCAAATCTCTCGTCTCGTACCGTTAACTTTAACGTTAATGTATTTTATGTCCGAAGTAACCAACATGGTTATACTACAATCTATCGTAAGCCATAAGATTGTATCTTCGTTCCACATATTCGTCTCTTATGGCACCTACGGAAAGAGATAAGGTGATGTATGCTCTTGCGTTACCGCCACGCGGTGCTTCATAAAAAGACAAACATCGAAATGAAAGAAGAAATGCCTCATTACTAGTATAAAAGGTAAATTCTCGTCCCTTACCATATAAAATTTCGTTATTTTAGTCTGTACATCTGTTAGTGTTCAGGCGACTCATTTATACCGCGGTTATAAAACGACTACGTCCTAGCACAGTTATGAAATAACTATTGTAAACGACGGTGACTTTAAAAGTAAGCTATTTATTACCAATCTCTTGATTATTTTACGTAAAAATCGATTGGAATTAGACATGGGTCAATCGTTAATTTTCATTTGACCCGTGTTGCACCAAAGTATTGATGATTGAAATTACATGTTCCGGATCAAACGATTGATATGGCTTACGACCAAAGAGTATAGTAATGTCCGACGACTAACATTATCGAACGGATCTCACAGATCACAGAATACAGAAACTCGAATTGATCGATTTGAAGGATCAAACTGAATGACCCGGTTCGTTAGACAAATCAAAACTTGAATGATGAGGTCATTAGAAATGAATGAATGACATATGTCTAATTGAAAACATATCTAAAATCGTACACAGAGAAACCTATAGACAAATTGACGCCTTCTTTCGCATTCGCACACGAAAAAGATAGATTTATGCATACGTCTTGCATAGAAATGAGACAGAGCGGTGTGATTGTTAGTCCCTTTCTCCGTGACGGTTTTTTTGTTTAGCAAACTACACTTTGCTTAACAACTTTGACAGTTCGTAGCAATCTAAGGAGTTTACAAGTTGGTTTAAATGAGAAAAAAGTGTTTTGTGAGCTTAAGATTGGTGAATCTTGTTCAGTTCAGTTATTAGAACAATTAAAATTTTTATCTAAATATGTTTAAAAGTCATAAAGATTATTGTATAACCTAAAACTACGTTATCATCCTTTCTCACTCGAGGCCACGCTAATCATTAGTCTATAGGTTTCTCTGTCTACGTCTAAAATATACAGGTACGATTCTACATAAAGATAGAGTAATGTCTAAAATGCGATATGTTTGGTAATATGATCTCGCATTCAAGCAAGGTAATTGAGACAAATTCTCTCTAGACTGATTTCATCAAACAAAATAGTACAGGTTTTTCCTACTCCGCATTTCCCAATTATTTGGTTTAACGTAGAATTAAACAATTTTCTCGAAAATGTATTTTATGTTGTTAGTTGGCTGATGGTAAGGAATGAAGTACCATTAAAATGTATATTTTAATGGTACTTCATTCCTTACCATAATCTAACTCTAATGGTGCGGAGAGAATCTCTTGCTATCTTTATACCCCTTCACCATCCGGATGTAACTCAAATCTTTCCAAATCTCCATAGTTTGCTGTCCAAGCCACGCGTTTATGGAATGACCTGTCTGAAAAATTAAGATAACCTACCTGCAAACAAGCATTTAAGACGAATGTTCGGGCTCATATCCTAAACGTAATTGCTAAGCTCCGTCCTTATTATGTATTATGTTTATATTATAATATTACATTTCTTTGCAACCGCCCTCGTAGCTTTACCACTGCTCTAATGTTAACTGGCAAATAATATTTTTAGCATTAAATCCACCTCTTGATCCTGTACTGAGTTGAGATTCAATAAAGTTTAAATAAATAACTGAATCTTCTTGATCCCTTGATCACATCTAAGCTAATCTGTTTGTCGTCTTAACTCTAAAGCTGATTTAATTTGCTTGATGTTTGGCTTATACGATAGGCTATCTAATGTTTTAAATAGCCAATCGATAATTTACATATTATGTATTTAAACTGACAAATCGAAATCAGTGTATGTAGATTAAAGACGTTTTCTTATAAACAATATGGTTGTTTTAGTTCCATCGCAATTTCTTACATTTTGCCTATTAAAATATAAATGTATAGCTACACATATTATTTTATCTCTCAGTTTAATTCCACCCTATTAGCATACTGCTATACGTCAAAAACATTATATTTTGTTTTTACATATATGTAGGTATTGCACGCCTTATAACGCGAAGCGTTATTAATATTAGGTAGTGCCAAAGACATTTAAGTATGTAGTAGTAATAGACCGGACATCAGCAACAAAATTGTCGTCTGTAACATTTGTGCTATAGGATATATCTACGATTTTTGTCAGTTAGTCTAAGTGACATCACCGAAAGGTCAAGACGCATTCGTTTCATAAGTTTAAAAAATATTTTTAAAGAAAATATGTCTAGTATAAATATGTATAGTAAGTCACGATATGGAGCATAAAATTAACATGATTTCGGTTTATTATCCTAAGAATAATGTATATTTACTAAATAATCTTTAAATTTTATTATTTCTAGTAGTTTGATCTAGAAGAAAGAAAAATTATTGTAATAAGTGCCCTCTGTTATCCAGTAAAGTCACTATTTATTTACAAATATGTAAACATTTGACGACGTGCCTAAATTTTTTTTTTTTTTTTTTTTTTTTTTTTTTTTTTTTGCGCCCGAAGCAAATATGGGCAACCCTCCGGAAGCGGGGGAGGGAGGTGGTGAATGCTCATAGCATACCACGCAGCCGGCTGCGTGGTTATGTGGCGACTTTTACCCACTAAACACCACCTTTTAGGAAATGGCTTAACGATCTGACTGGAGATCTCTAAGCCGTATACGAACGCGACCCTCCTTGGCAGAAAGGAGGGCGCAAGCGGCGAAAAGCCGCTTAGAAGAGTGCCTAACTAGGCAGATTAATGGATGTGTTATGTAGGCTCGGCCCGAGCCGCCAGGAGGCAGTTCAGGTCAGCCGAAAGCTTGTTGGGGGGGGTCCGAGAGAGAGTTTCTCGGTCTGCGCACACTATAGCGAGTGTGGATAGGGGCTGCATAGGCAGCTGTCTCACGGATGAGATGATTTGGGTGGGACTCTGAGGCTTTGAAAAATCTTTCAGAGAGCGATTTGAGGAACTGCTGGATTGTTGGGAGCTCTAAGTCTCGATGGAGGTCGGCATTACGGACATAATAGGGCGAGTTAGTGGCCCTACGACAGAATAGATTTTGAACTATTTGGAGTTCATTGATGGCTTTGGGTTTAGCATGTGCAAAAATGGGGGCCGCGTAGGTCATGACAGGTCGTATGCAGACCTTATATAGGGTTCGCTTGTTGCGGAGGGACATTTTACTGTGTCTGCCCAACATGCTGTTGAGCCTACCCATGTAAAAACGTGCGGTGCGAGTAACCTTCTTGATATGGGGCTCGAAAGTGAGCCTTGCATCAAGGGTGACGCCTAGGTATTTGGCTTTAGTTTGCCATGGGACAGGGGTTCCTAACATCCTGATTGGCGGAGTGGTGGTGAGACGGCGTCGTTTATATTCGAAGCAAACGGCGGAGCTTTTCTCCGGGTTTACGTCGATACGCCATTTTTGGAACCAAGCTCCTAGGTCGCTTACTGACTTTTGGATCTTGTTCCGAATCTGTGGTAATGAGTTGCCTTTGGAGTAAAGGGCTGTGTCATCTGCAAAGAGGGCTAGTTTGACACCATTCGACGGGATAGGGATGTCGTTGGTGAATAGTATGTATAGGAGGGGAGCAAGCACAGAGCCTTGAGGGACACCGGCTTTTATTTGACGGGTAGAGGATAGCGTGCCTTCGTGTCTAAAACGAAAGGTACGATCCTTTAGATAGGAGGCTACAAGGCGAACGAGACGATCTGGGAGGCCTAAGTCGTACAGTTTGTAGATAAGGCCCTCGTGCCAGACCCTGTCGAATGCCTTGGCAATGTCAAAGAAGACCGCGATGGTTTTTTGACGGCGAGGGTAAAAACCGCTGAGGATGTATTCCACTATGCGGTGAACTTGTTGGGGGCACGAGTGTTTGGCTCGAAACCCGAATTGTTGTGGGATGACAAGAGGGTCGCCGTCTGTGGGAAACAAATGGCGTCTCAAGCGCACGAGAATGACTCGTTCGAAAAGTTTGCCCATGGCCTTGAGGAGGCTGATGGGACGGTGATTGGAGGGGGAGGTGGAGAGGTTTGCCTGGCTTGGGAATGCCAATGACAGTTGCCTCTTTCCAAGAGGTGGGAAAATAACTGAATTCGAAGCAGGCGTTAAAGATAATGGCCAGTAAGGCGATTACCTGCTCCGGGAAGTGTTTGAGGGCTTGGTTGGAGATGCCATCCGCACCCGGTGCTTTTTTGGGCTTAAGTCCTTTGATGGTAGATGAAATCTCATCTTTGGACACAGTGATAGGGTCAGAGGCGGTAGGGGGCGAGTTCCTGCGTCGGACCTCGTCCTCCACTTGTTGAATGTGTAAGGGGTCAGTGGGTTGTGAGCTAGGAGAGCATTGAGCGGCAACGCTGTCCGCGAAGCACTCAGCCTTTTCTTCGTCTTCGAAGGCAATGGAGCCGTCGGGACGAGACAGAGGGGGAGTATGGGTTATAGCGTCTATCCGGAGGGCTCTCGCCATCCGGTAGTACGCTGTGTGAGAGGGAGAGATTTTCTCCATGAGATTGCCCTTTTCGTGGTCTCTGTAGTCTTGGAGGCGGTAACGCAGTTTGCGTTGAAGGCGGTGGGCCGCGAGTCTATATTCGGGAGTGGGATAGCGTGCAGCTCTACGGAGGGCAGCTTTTTTGGCTTTTAACAGGTTGCTAATATCTAGGGGAAGACTAGTTTTAGCAACCGGGACAACTTTTTCATTCTCTTTAAGAGAGGATGTTATAAGTGAGGTGAGATTTTCGACCGCTGTGTCTATTTTCCCCGCACTGTCGAGGGCGTCAGAGGAAAGGGTTATGGGAGGGTCCGGAGAGTCTATAGCCGAGGCTAGAGACTTTTTGAAGCCCTTCCAGTTGGTGTAGGTTTTGGAAGTGGGAGTTGGAGATGGCTGATGGCCAAGAAGGAGGGATACAGGACGGTGGTCGGATCCTAGATCGTCGAGAGGCTCGATTGCTCTAAGGTTAAGGGAAACTCCTTTAACTAGAGCAAAATCTAGCACGTCAGGAGCGTAGGTAACAATGTCGGGATAGTGTGTGGCAGTGAGGGGGGCTATAGACAGTCAGGTCGAGAGACTGAGTGATATTGAGCAGCACCCTGCCACTACTGGTAGTAGTGCGGCAGGCCCATTCAGTATGCTTGGAGTTAAAGTCTCCAAACATAATGACTGAGTCGCCTAATGCAAGGATGGCTTCGAAGTCACTCTTGACGGGGAGGGTTCCGCTAGGGATATAGCAGGAGGCTATAACGATTGACTGGTGTCCAGTCATGGCTAGTCTAGTGATAGTGGCTTCCATACTGGTAAGCGACGGAGTAGATATGTGGGAGCAATGAAGGGACTTTTTGTGATAGATGGCAGTACCGCCGCCTTTGCGGTCGGGTCTATCGTTACGTATGAGTGAATAATTTTTAATAGTAAGGCCTTTAGAGACCTTGGGGCTGAGATGGGTCTCCTGTAGGAGTAAGAGATCGGCTTCGCGATCTCGTAGAAAAAGCCTAAGCTCTGGGAGGTTATTTCGCAGACCGCGGATATTGAATGAAACAAGCGATAAACCCTTTGGTTTGATACGACCGTGAGATATTGCGGGAGCAGAGGGCTCCGGCATAGTTAAATTACAAGGACCTTAGAAGGTTGATGTGCTCGGTAAGAGCAAGGAGGCGGGCCTGAGGGGACTGAGCTGTGCTCAGTTTATCCGCAAGGATGAGGATTTCGTCCAAATTGATTCTATTGAGTGTGTTATACACTAGGTTTAGGGACTCTACAACAGAGTCTGTCTGTTTTTTGGGGTCGGCGGAGGGCCGCGGGATATTTGATTCCTTTTGGAACCAGGGGTTTATTGGGAGCGGCGCTGGCTGAGAGAGCGGGAGGCTCATAAGGGGCCGAGGAGGGCCCTGAGGTGGCCGATAGGGGCCCTGTGGGGCCCGATAGATGCCCTGTGTGGGCTGAGATGAGCCCTGAGGGGGGCTGAGGTAGGGGCTGGCCCTGGCTGGGCTTGCGGCTTACAAGAGCCGGGAAGGTTCGGTCATTGACCTGTGGTGGAGCTTTGCGGCTCGGAGGTGGGCGAGGGGCGCGAGGGCAACCTCTAAAATTGGCCGGATGGCCTGTTTGTCCGCAGAGGACACATGAGGGTGGGGATTCGGCGTTTTTGGGCCGTGGGCACTCTTTCGAGTGATGGGGTTCTAGGCACTTAATGCACCTGGGTGGAGCTGAGCAGTTGGCTGCCGCGTGACCATAAAGTTGGCAGCGGTGGCACTGCGCTGGGTAACCGCGCCGGTGAGGGGCTTCGACCTTAACACGCGACAGGCCGCACACAGTGCGTACCTCGCGGAAAATGGCCTTCGCCTCCGGCACATTGGTGAGAACGAGGAGGGCGAGGTTAAACCTTTCGCCCCTGCTGCTGTGCATTTTATGCACACTTTCAATGGGGAAGCCTTGGGATTTGAGGTCTTCCAGAATGTCTTCGTTTGCGAGTTCATAGGGAACTCCGCGGAGGACAGCCTTCACTTTCCTTTCTTCGGCAAGGGCGTATGTGTGGTAGGACACACGCTCGGCCGTGAATAGGCGGGTTATGTTTCGGAAGTCTTCTATAGACGCCGGTATAATTTTGATGGCCTCGCCGACATTAGTGGCTTGGTCATATTTGATACCCTTAACGTAGAGGGTTTTGGACAGCTGAGTAAATTTCGCCTTGTCTCTGAGAAAGACAGGGGGCGGGACTTGTTTTTTGGCCAATTCGGGAGCGCAGCGGGTTGCTGGCTTGGCGGCATTGTCTTTCGACTGTGAGGCGGCAGCGTTTGGGGCTGCGGAAGTAGGGGCAACGATGGGAGCTGCGGAGGTAGAGGCAGCGGCGGAGGGAGTGCGGGCGGCGGCGGCCGCTGAGGCGGGGGGAGTGCGAGAAGTGGCAGCGCGTTTCGGGCCGCGCTTGGATTTCACTAGCGTGAATTCGGCTTGGGAGTCGGTTATGGTTCCTTCGGAGTCGGAAGAATCCGAGGAGCCGGTGGAGCTGAGGGCGGTCCTCTTCCGGGAGGATGAGGTAACGGACGTGGCGTCCGAGTGCTCCATATCGGAGTCAGGGGACGCGGGTGAGTCGGACTGCGGGGCAGCCGCTTGGGTCGCGAGGAAAGCAGCGACGGCGGGCGGGGGGTACACATGCCTTAGGGGCACAGGGGGTAAGCTCAATTGAGAAGCTATCAAGGGCTACGCCTTGGGTTCTTAAAAATTGTTGAAAAAGAGCCAAAATTTGGCTAGTATCCATGGACGACATGTTGATCTGGACAGGGGGGGATGACGTTTTTATTCTAAGAACTCTGGAGGTCCCTGTTCTGAGAAGAACAGGGCCTTAGGGGCAGATGGGGAGGACTGACGTTCTATCCCAGAAGCTGGGGTCCCTATGTTCTGAAAAGAACAAGGGCTTGCTCTGAGAAGAGCAAGAGACGATCTTCTAAGGATAGTATACACAACAAATAACAGTATAACAAAAATAATAACAATAACAGAAAAATTAACAAATAAAACAAAACAAGCAAAGCGCGTTCAAGCCTCCCCGCCGGAGCAAGGGGGCAGGAACGATGCGAAAACAAAGTGACTCACCAACGGCGTCTGCTCGGCCGGTGTTAGCCGGGGAGAGCGGGGCGCGCGGGCAAGCGGTTGCACTACCGAAAGGTCGGAGGCGCGAAAGAACTGTGTGCACGACCGCTCGGGGGCGGCGCGCAAACGGAACTGACTGGTGACGTGCCTAAAACCGATTTTTACCTTATATTTAGAAGCGTCACCTAATGGGAAATAGCTAAAATGTTTTCCAAATAAATATTCAGCGTAATATTGCTATTTTTCGTCAGAGGGCTTAATACACGCGCGTGCTCACAGTTATATAGTACAATATATATATATATATATATATATATATATATATATATATATATATATATATATATTATATTTGTATATATATATATATATATATATATATATATATGTATTTAAATCTCTTTGGGTAGTGCTTTAATTTCGACACGTTAACGTCTAGCAATTCTGTGTTCTTAAAATGCCTCTATCATAAAGATATACGATAATATGAGATGTAGGGCTAGTACATCAAGAAAACACTAATTTACACCCATCTTTTATTTTATAAAAATCATTTTATATTGCTACTTTGACGTCAAAAAATAATAACTGCCGAAAAAATTGACGTATCGAATTACCTGATTCCCTATTTCATATCAATAGCGTAGTACGCGTAGTTTGTTAATAAAATGATTTTCATCTTTAATAAGTTTTATTGCTATTAAAAATTTAAAGGTTTTTCATATTATTTTAGACAAAGGACAAATGTACCACACAGCTACCGATTTTATACTTTGTGTAAGAGCTTAGAAATGTGTTTAATTTTTTACCAATGAGCTAAAAAGTTAGTTTTATACTGTTTATACTTTTAAAATTCTGTTTTAAGATGTCTAACTTATAATCTAACTTATTAAAAATAAACACGATATTGTTGTTTTTTTTTATAGAAAAAAGTTGACAAGCGGGCACACAGTCCACCTGATGGTAAGTGGTTGCTGTGGCCCATAGACATCTACATCTATCCTCGTTTGCGAATCAAAATGCAGATGCGTTGTCAGCCTTGAGGACTAAGATGGAATGCCTCTTTTCCAGTAAAAAGGGTCTCCGGTACTCTACACTCACCATACGAAACACAGCAGCATTAATTGCTTTTTGATGCTGGTATTCTGTGAGAGTGTGGTCCTTCCCCGGTCGAGCCGACCCATTCGTGGTACAACTATACAATTAATATAGCTGCAGCGTGGCTCTACCACGTAAAAATGTGTTGTTTCTATATTACAACTACAACCGTAATCTATTCAATCTATATATATTCAATCCTACAATAAGAAAATCATTTTGTGAAAATATGCAAAATAATACAATTAGTAGAATATTTTCCTGTTACTAGTCGAATAAAGCCAGTGCGGTGTGGACAACAAAGGAAGTATATCGAAATTTCTAAATAAACAAGATGTGTTACTGACTTTGTTTCCAACACACATATCTATATAGGGTTCTAAAATTAATTATCAAAGTATTAATCCCATTGTTATTGTTTCAGCTTCGATGTTGAGAATGGTGCCGGTGCTGGTGGAGGCGCGGGGGGCGCTCGCTCCCCGCTTGAGGGCGGATCGCCCTCTGCCGCGCTGGTCCTTCAGGCCATGCCGCAACGCCGCGAGTCCTTCCTCTACCGATCCGACTCCGACTTCGAAATGTCACCTAAGTCTATGTCGAGGAACAGCTCCATCGCCAGCGAAAGGTAAGTGCCCTTAAACTTATGACATTAAAAACAAATACTAAAGTTTTTTATTATCTTACACTCAAACTTTTGGCAGGTTTTTCACAAATGTAGTGGTATTTTACACATTTAATTTCAAAAATATTTTCACGGGTTTGATTTCTACAAATGTAATAAAAAAATTTTGATCACATTAGTTTTATTCGATCATTTTTGTATGTATTTTTATCACAGTAAAATCTTATCTTTAAAAATATTTTATGTTGTACCAGACATAGAATACTATAATATATTATAGTATTCCGTGTATAGTATTCAGTGGCCACTGGAGAAACTTATGAATAGTGCATTAGTATTGTACCGACATAACATTAGTTTTACACAAATTATTTTTCATATATACACACCATTCAAACTCTCAGCTTTCAAAAACACCGACTACGAGCTTTAGTATTAAAATTTTTACACTTTAATATAACTGATCTTTTTAATTTAAATCACATGTATTACATACGTGCCTAATGGAATTATAGCTACTCTACTTCTTGAATCCACATTTAATTCAAGACCTTGCAGACCCTGCAAATGTGCATGGTGACAGCTGAACTTATGTTTTATATTTGTTGGTATTGAATTAAAAACACTGTTACTCAATCAATCAATCGTTTTAACTTGAATAAAACTATTTATACGGATTTTATCGTGTCTAATTATTTTATTTTTAATTCCCGTTTCTGATGCTTTACAGCACCCATGGTCACGTGGGAAATTAAAAATAAATTAATGATTTCTTATGTTTACGCGAACACTACACATTGAAATAATACTAGTTTTTACGGATTTATCGCGTATATTTGACTTTAAATACCCGACGTTTCGAGCGCTTTACAGTATCCATGGTCACGGGGAGGACTGAGATGTTCAACGTCCAAATGTCATAGTTAACAGAGGTTACCATAGATAAAAATTTAAATTTTGTTCCGATCTACACAGTATGAACTTATGGTATCTTGAAGTCTTGCAGTTGTACGCTTGGGTTGGGATTTGATTTTATTTATTATAGGATCCCAAGCAGTTGGTAGCACCCAGCCATCTTCTCTATTGAAATTAGGATGTTTTTGATTTCAATAGCCTCGCGAATCATCCTTGTAGGAATCGGTGTTCTTTAGCGAGGATTTGTGGTCTATCAAATCTGATGTAGTGACGGGGGTGATCCTGTACGTGTTCACAGACTGCAGACTTCCCGGAGCGTCGATTCTTTACATCAGCTATATGTTCATTAACGCGGGTTTTAATTGATCTTTTAGTTTGTCATATGTAGGAGAGACCACATTCACAATCAAGCTTGTACACTCCTGCATCTGGCGAGGGGGACGTAACACTTGACTGATGGTAAAAACAGACCAATCTTCTTCGGCGGCTTGAAGTTATGGAAGCCCAGGTAGATGTAGCATCTTGTCAGTGACTCCTCTAACATATGGCAGTACAGCAGGTACACGCTCGACTGTGGCCGGCTTCACTCGTTCACTGTGACGTAGGCGCGGGACCCGAAGCTTGTTATCATGCAAAACTTGCTTGACATGGTGGAGCTCGGCAGCCAGGTGTTTACTGTCACAGATCCCTCGTGCTCTCTGAAACAAAGGTTTACCCACAGTAGCTAACTGTGAAGGATGGTGGTGAGAATCACCGTTTAAATATCTATCTGTATGGGTCTTTTTTCTATACACAGTATGGCTCAAGGTGTTATCAGGATTCCGAATTGCTAACACATCTAGAAAAGCTAAAGAATTGTTTGCCTCTCACTCCATTGTGAACTGAATTTTAGAATTTATAGTGTTGAGATGGTCTAAAAATACAGTTACTTTATCTAAAGGTAGAATTGTGAAAGTGTCGTCTACGTATCGCTTGTAGAATCTTGGATTTATGGGAGAAGAAAGCAGGGCTTTCTCCTCAAAGTCTTCCATGAATATGTCGGCGACAATGGGAGAATACAGGTGAGCCCATCGCCACACCATCTACTTGCTTGTAGAACTCCTCCTTCCACAATAGGTAGCCAGATGTAAAGCAGTGTCTGAGTAATACTGCATATTCTACGGGCATGTTGTTTTCTTCCAGCCTTCTAGTTACAACAGTAGTTGTTGTTTACATGCTTACCTGTTGACGACTGCATCTCAATTGTAACTAGAAGGCTGGAAGAAAACAACATGCTCGTAGAAATATTCTTCGTATCTTTTCACTTACCGCCCACAATCTCTCCATGGTCAAAAATATGAAAAAAATTAAAAAAAAATTAAATCCAATTTAATGTGTTCAAAACTTTAACCTACACAAAAACATTATATCACTGGTTGTCTAACCAATTGCTACAAGTCGTTCAAATACGCTTGTTTTGTTAGAAAAATTGATAGAAAACCTGTCTAAGAAAATTTTGTGTATTTTCTCGGGAGTTCAAAGAAAGACGTCCCTTTGTTGCTTTAAGCGAGCAATTCTTGTAAATATGTATATAATATACTTGGATGAAATTTTGTATTTAGATAACGTTTTACTTTCATAGTTTATCTATTCAGGTGTCATCTCTGCGAACATTTTTTTTCTAACGCCTTCGCTCAGGTATTCTGATCATACATATATTAATAATGAAAAAATATTGTTGAAAATGAGAAGTAATCACTTATAATTGAGAAAGCCTATTATTTAGGTACTTGATTATTGTAGCCCTTCACAAGTCCACTGTTGAACATAGGCGTCCCCCATAGGAATGTCACAAAGCACGTCCCGAGCCACGTGTAACGTCCATGTCAGACCTATGCCGATAGTTCCTGGGAGTACTAAGCTCGAAGTTGTTGACAATTTGCCTCGGACAAATATTCAGACCAGGTAAATCCAACTTTGACCTATTCAACTCGACTGGGCAGCGTTCGGGACATTACGACACATCTTTGTCCTCAAAGTATGGAGATGGCTATGCTCGGGGTTCCTCTACGTGATAAACTTAGAAATGAGTATATCTGCAGTAGAACCAGAGTGACCGACATAGCCCAACGGATTAGTAAGGTGAAGTGGTAGAGTCATGCTGCAGCTATATTAGTAGTATAGTTGTAGCATTATTAACGGGTCGGCTCGACCGGGGAAGGGCCACGCTCTCACAGAATACCAGCGTAAAATAGCAGCTTAACGCTGCTGTGATTGAGGATAGATGTAGATGTGTAAGGGCTACAGAATCCACTTACCATCAGGTGGACTGTGTGCTCATTTATCACCCTTATCCTATAAAAAAAGGGATGGCCATATAGCTCGAAGAACCGACAACCGAAGGGAGAAAAGGTTTTCAAGAGGCAGCCTTGTACCGGTAGGCGAAGTGTAGGGCGACCCCCCCCCCACATTAAATGGAATGATGATCTGGTAAGATTTTCAGCAAGTCTATGACTGCAGGTAGCTCAGAACCGTGTTTTGTGGCATTCCTTGGGGGAGGCCTATGTTCAGCAGTGGACTTGTGAAGGGCTGTAATGATGATGATGATGATGACCCGTGTAACATAGTTTAATATTTTTATTTACTTGAATAATCTACTGTTACAATACATTTTATGATAATATGTAGGAATATTAATTTCATTAGTCGGTCAAGCTAAAAAGACGTTCAACGCCATGTACATGGCACGACCTGATTAATTAGACTATTAATTGAACGGCTATACGTTTTATTAAATGCCATCAATTAATAATTATTCAATGCCTAAATGATAACAGAATCGATTGGCTAATGTTTAACCATCTGATTAATGTTGTTAAAATGTTCCACTGCAATGATGAATTGTTATTGCCACACTAGAATAAAAGTTAGTTTAAAGGTCGTGGTAGCTATCATAATATGAGAATCAAGATAACAGATGATTTAGCCCTGTCGAAAGAGCTACTACGTGGTAGAGACACGCTCAGCCTAAGCTGGAGATATATATATATATATATATATATATATATATATATATATATATATATATATATATACCCCCCCCCACGATTAGATACTTGTTAAAAATCTTACAAATACATAATCGGTGGCATTTTTTGTGATTGGGACATTAATATAAGCTCTTCATTACCTATTAGTTAATAAATTTTTCATTTGTGTAACATAAAGTTATATATAGATAACATATAACCAGGAAAGAAAACATACAATAAAGACATTTAGGATTTTTGGGTCTCAGCATCTTTTTCTCTCTAATCTTGCAACAGGTTTACACGGCGTGTTGTTTGTATTACGGCGTATTAGCTCAAAGCACAGAATAAATAATAGTACTACGTACTTAAAGTCATTTTTATTTTCAATGGCTAGGATCGCGAGGCCAGATAAACGTTCCTGACTCATTGTTGAACGCAGATAGGTTTTAATTACTTGCAGTTTGCTAAAGCTTCGCTCACAGCTTACAGATGTCGTAGGTAATGTGCAGTATATTCTTAAAGCTATACTAACATTAGGAAACACTACTAGCAAGTGATGCTTGCACAGATGTTGTAACAGGTCGAATGCACCTGATTTTTCATTAGTTTCGTAGTTACTAGCTCTTTAAAAATGGCAAGTTCTTGGCAAAAATCGACTGGATTCAAGTCTTTCGAATTTTTGAGCTAGATCAATTTCATTTTTTCGCAGATCCTCAGTCGACCTATTTTAAAACGCGTGGCCTAAGGAAGGTGATATTTTCATGTACACGGTGCGCTCTCTACCCTTGTTTTAATTTCCGTTAAAATTATGTCAAATACTACCTTTATATCTTTGATAAATAAACCATTTGGATCAAGCATTCTTAATTCGTCTTCGCAGATTTCACCATTTTGCCTTTTTTTCTTTGGGAAATCCGTTTGATTTCAAGGACTGGGTCGATTTCTAATTTTTCTAATACTGGTGCAGCTTATTTGAACCAATGTTCTATTGATTTTTCTCTCTTTCCTTGCAAGATCTTAACAAGGTCTTGTATTATCGCCACAGAATATGAAATGATAATATCCTCTTTTCGTATTTCAACGTTTACTGTATTAATTTCTCGAAGAATATTATCCCAAATTGTTCAGTTGAGGATAAATTAAAAAAACCATCACCGCATGTAGTGAATGACCAGCTTCATACTTGGATTCTACGACTAGAGAAGATTCTTCAATTTCTTCCAGGGTTTTGACAATATCCAGTAATATTAAAGCAGTAACAGCCTGGTGTTTAGTCGACTATCTGGTTAGACTACTTCCTTTAATAATGATTTCTTATATTTACGCGAACACTACACATTGATTAAAACTATTTTTACAGATTATATTGCGTTTAATTTTACTTTTAATTATTTTTATTTTTAATTCCCCACGTTTCGGGTGCTTTCCAGCACCCATGGTCAGGGGACTGAGGTGACTGACGTCCCAATGTCATTGTTAAACCCGGAGTACCTTCAGCTTTTTTAATTATTGTTTATGGTCCGATCTATGCAAAATGAACTGACTACCACTGCAAGACAAGCATACCACTGCAAGACCTCAGGACTTAGTCAGTTCATTTTGCATAGATCGGACCATAAACAATAATTAAAAAAGCTGAAGGTACTCCGGGTTTAACAATGACATTGAGACGTCAGTCACCTCAGTCCCCCGTGACCATGGGTGCTGGAAAGCACCCGAAACGTCGGGAATTAAAAATAAAAATAATTAAAAGTAAAATTAAACGCGATATAATCTGTAAAAGTAGTTTTAATCAATAGTTACTTTTAAGTTTGTTTTTGTAGACTTTTGCATTATTTTCCACTGTGTGGTGGATCTAACAACGAAACAATAAAAATTTTGTACAAGCCCAAACAGGCTACCAGCATCTGGACATGATGACGCTGAATGCACGCTCACAAACTTTAAAGAATGTGCTAGACGTGGTGCAAACTTTGCCAGCTCGTTTATTTACAAAACTCTGGATTGGACTCCTTTATACTGGCAATATTCGATACATTGTTGTAAGATTGTCCGCGACGTTTTTGCACATCTGAACCACCTGCTACTAATTTCTCTAGAATTTGCTGTGTAATTTATTCTCCAGTCTTTCCATCAACTTCAATAAAATCAATAAAGCTTTCCTTTATTTCACGTCCGGATTCCGTTATTTTTATAAATTGAATCACCTGGCTCATTTGTTCCGTGTGAGATACATCTGAAGCGCAGTCATACATGATGGTGAAATTGTTGGCTTCCTTGATGTCAATGATAGTGATATTTCGAATATATCATTTTGTTTCATTTTCGACAAACAGGATACCTCTCCTTTTTTTACGTGGTCTAGATGATATTTAAAAGTAGATAACCATTTAAATTAAATTTTCCGCCATTAGATGTTGCTAACAATCTACTGTGCAGCTGCTCCTGACAGCATATTTGGGTATGAACCCTTAGGATGTGTTCAAAAACCAACTGGGCGTTTTAACGTCAAATGAATAATTGATAGAACAACGTGCGTTGGATATTAGACGCTTTGTGGAGCAAGTATTTTTTAAATCCCTATTATATTATAATTTAGGCACCCCCTGAAAATACCGCCCGGGGCGGGGCGGGTCCCCCCCTTCATATTCGGGGAGGACGCCCCCCCCCCCTCAGATTCGGGGTAGGACACGCTGCAGCTATATTATGGTTGTTGCACGAATACGTCGGCTCGACTGAGATCACGCTCTTACAGAATACTAGCGTGTAATAGCAGCTTAACGCTGATTTCTTTCTTATAGTGAATAAAGGGAATCAAAAACTCTTTTTACTTGAAAAGAAGTATTTCATCTTAGTATTTAGGGGTGACAACGCATTCTGCATTATGACTTTTGATCAAGGAAAGATGTAGATGTTTATTAGCCACAGCATCCACTGGGCGCATGCTGTAGCCCATAGCCATCTACATCTATTGTATCAGGTGGACTGTTGTGCTCGTTTGTCATCCTTATTCTATTAAAAAGTTTACTATTAGTTAGTCAGCTAAAAGGTTTAAGGGTATTCCCATTATTTCAATTAGACTTATGCACACACTAGCTTGCCAGGCAAACGTTGTTCTGCCTTTATCGACGACCCTTTGTCATGTCCTATAAAAATCATTAAATTAGCAAAACAAAACTGTGGGTCACTCATGGGTAAAAAAACTGTCCTATCTCTCAAGTTGGACCAAACTGCACACGGTGTGCAAATTTGATTAAAATCGGTTAAGTTGTTTAGAAGTCCATCGCGGACAAACAACGTGACATGTAATTTATTTATATTAAGACTAGCTTGCCAGGCAGACGTTGTTCTGCCCTTTTCGACGACAATTTGTCATGTCCTATTAAAAATTCTTAAAATCGCAAAAAAAATAATTGTGGGTCACTTATGGGCAAAATAACTATCTCTCAAGTTGGACCAAACTGCACAAGGTGTGGAAATTTGATTAAAATCGGTTAAGTAGTTTAGAAGTCCCTCGCGGACAAACAACGTGACGCGTATTTTATAGGTATATATTAAGATTTCGATAATTGCTGGCGTTTAACTTAAAGACTAGCCATTCAATTATCGGGTTGATTAAACCTTCTACAAACATATATTTCTCACGAAACAATTAGCACAGCACTCTCCTGCGATTCACCATTTAAATACAATTTCATTGTGTTCGGCACACCGTACATTCTGCATCAAAACAAACAACAAATGGCACTTTAGAAGCAGGACAGCGCTTTGGACGCATACAAGGACGAAGTAAGCTAGTTATAATAAAATACTGCATACGTATTAAATGTTGTGTTCAACTAATATACAAGTAGTGAGCTTACTTACACACAGCCTACATTATCGGGTGATAGCATGCGTTCTATGTGAGGAATGAACCTTCAAATGTGTTGTCATGTGCGTAATGTGAAAGAGTACCTTGTGATAGTACAAAGTAAATAAAAGGACGAACCTCGGTTTGGTCTACACTCTAAGCTATATCCACTGTCACAACTGAACCTGCCAATTACACAACTATAGCACAATTTTTTTTGTTTTTAAGCTGATCCCCGCATACGGCTCGGTATTCATTAAAGCGGAGATGGCCAAAGAGGAGAGTTACTGTATGCTACATCTGTTATTAATTATTTTACTATATATATATAAATATATTAGCTGTGGCGTGTAGAGGAAGCGTAAGATAATACATTGGTCCATAGCATTCCGTGGGTGTCGTGAGAGGCGGCTGAGGGAAAAGGAACTAGAGATTTGCATTTTCTTTAATCTAGCAAATAAAGATAATAAAAAACTGCGATTGACCCCCCCCACCCTGTTTGCCCCCTATGGGACAATCTACGGGCAAAACAGTACAGTAGGGATTTTAATAGACTAATGAATGAATAAATATATTAGCAAGTAGCTGCTAGCTATCAAGAAGCTGATTCCCAAGATAAAGAAATAACGGGGGAAAATAGACAAATATGTAATCTTCTTATTTCATATACTCAAAACTCTGTTATAAAGTGATCATATTATATAAAATATGTTAAAATTATTGCACTTATGGGTCGGTTAGATCGGGCAAGAACAACACTCTTACAAAATACCGGCGTGAAATAGCAGCCTAATTTCGCAGTGTTTCGTATGGTGAGTGTAGAGAAAGGGAGACCCTTTTTACTTTAAAAGAGACTTCCACCTTAATTAACAACGCATTTGCATTTTGATTCTTAGCAGAGGATAGATATAGAATTCTTGTAGCCGCAGTATCCACAATATCTCCACTTACCATCAGGTGGACTGTGTGCTCGTTAATCGGTCGTAGTCTATAAAAAAATGCCTGACAGTATGGTTGTATTATTACTACACTGCTACATACTGCTCATCCATATTGTTAGTCTTGAAAAGATTATGATTTCATTTTCTTCTGGGTTGATTATTCCAAAACTGAGCAAAGGAAATTACGCACCATAAACTCCTCCGCCCATCGCCGCTTTTTTGGTTACCGAGCTATAATGTAACTAGTCACCGTGATTACCGCTTAGGTGGCACAAAAATATGTTCTCTGTTCTGTCTTTTCCATAATTTTAATTGCTTACAGATTCAAGGAGGTCGAGGCTGCACAGCTGGACAGAGCGTATGTACTAATATAACAAGCGTGCAAAAGCATTGCATGAGCTTTAAGTAGACTTTACTGTATTCTAGATTTGTCGTCCCTCATTACTTTTACTTTGACATCCACTATATTTTATCGAGTTTTGTTTGTGCATGTTGTTTCTCCGCTTTATTACCATAAAATATATAAAACTCATTGAGCCGTTCACGAAGACTGAAGGTGAGTTCTTGTAGATTTTGTTGTACTTTTGTTCTTCTTCACGAAGCCATGATTTTTTAAAGAAAATAAACGAATCTATTATACGCTTGATTTAAAGCTGTCAAGTGGTAAAAGAAAAATATAGTGTGAAGGTAGGTAGGTACCTGACTTTGACTTTGTGAAACTGAACTTATAATTTTATGTTTATATAAATATTACTTTTTACGATACATTCTTTACTATCGAAGTATTCTACTGGCTTAAATGAAATGAAGATGGAATAGCTTCTCAACAGATTAAGATAAAACTTAATTGAAATCTTCCATCACAGTTTACCTAAGAATTAGGATCAATATCTTATCAAATCAACTCGAATTGATACTGCTGTGGTTTCACTTAATAAAATCTTATGATTTTTATAATATTTCTGTTAAGTATCTTATATTATGACGTATATTATAATACATTAAATTCTTTTTTTCAATATTTATTCTTAAATACATTTAATGTGTTTAATCATTTCTCTAATCTTTATAACAGTTTACCTGGATTAAAGTCCCACATTCGTATAATATACATTAAAAAGGAAACAAGGTTAAAAAAATCGCAATAAACAGATCGCACTTTATGTACCTAGCGGACGAAAATGCTAGAGAGCTTTGAGCGACCTTGAACACAAATAATTTATTTGCATAAATCAATATGACATAAAATCTAGTCCTTGTAGACAAATGACAAAGCAATCTTGGTCAGGCTAAAGATCCAACCTGAATCCAACTTGAATTAGATAATGCTCAGTGGCCCTCGATTTCCACGTCGAACATTGATTACCGGCGCCCACAGCCAGTTTCCATTAGCGCCAAATTTATCCTCGGGCGGAGTCGCGAGTCGTCGGCGAACGCCGGGCGAGCGAGCGCGACGCCGACGCCACGGCGGCCGTCGCTGTGCGCCTCGCTCACCTCCGATCTTCATTGACAGTACGCGCGGCGCGCCGACGGCACGCAACCACCCATGCCTTCACACGCTGTTCACTCTATCGTGCCACTGAAACCCCCTGCGATAACTTAAACAACCCCGACTTAAAGTGCGACGTACTAAACCATTTTCGAAGCGTAAACATGCTTTCACGTCCTGAACTAGCTACGCGGTGCAGCAACGGAATGTTACAATTGTAGTAATATAAACTTACTTGTTGTTCAACGTTGGGTGTGTACGAGAGGCTCGCGCTAGAACAGCTCCGAGGTCGTTCACTAGTATGACAAGTCGCTCCAGGTCAATTCAGATGCACGCACTGATCGAAGTAGACTTGTCCGCTCATTGGTGTCAAGGACGTAAAACGGTCACGGCCTAAAAGTTTGTTTTAACTGTTGAAACAGCTTTGTGCTATTGATTGCAAACTTGTGGTGTTAATACTTTGCTCAATTGTTTTCAAACACTAGTTGCACTAGTGATGATAAGGACACTTATGTGTGATAGGGCGGCATAAACCAGCATTATATCGTTATCTTGATAACATATTTGGTTCCTTAGTAAATAGTTTTATGTCAATGTCATAAACCACTCGAGTGTACTACTATAATCGTAATCTAGTGGATCCTAACGTGTTTAAATAATCAAACGGGTGCATCACATGGCGTACGCATTACGCGGCGAGAACGTTAATCTTATTATGGTGCCGGGAGCCGCGCTATAAGTCTATTGGCATTAATATTCGTGCGCCAAATCATGTAGTGGTGTCTCATTCGACGAACGAAATGCAACGTTCGGGTTCTCAGTCCGACCGGCTGGGTACCGGTGGTAGCGGGGCCACTTTCATCACGAAGAGTTCAGCTTCGGAGCACAGCATGTCCACCGGAGTATCGGGCAGCAGTAGTGGCGGCACGCTGCCCCGCACTCTCAGCACCAGTGTGCTGAGAATCAAAAACCGTTCCACGTTCTGGGACAAATTTTGGGACGAGCGCACCAGACGTGATGCGTGAGTAAATTTGAAGTTGTTTCCTTTGAAAGCATATAATTATTACGACACAATTATGGCTCGAAGATATACTCTATTATAATTTCATCGCACATATATTAATCTGCTCCAAAAACTTCCAAGAAATTAGAAGAGACCTGTGCTCAGATGTACTTTACTTTTATAGGTACTTGTTATATTAAGCGATTCCATAACCTATCGATCTAATGTTCCCTACATATCCCTATATTGTAGCAGAGTAACGACTAAATGTTACCTCCTACAGTTTCCATCGCGTATTGTTCATATGATTTAATGGAGAAAACGTGTAAGTGAATGGTGAAAACGTTTTTATCCAACCCGCGCAACCGCATACGTATTTTCGAATAAAAGAATTACTGTAATCATGCCATTGTCCTTTGTTCCATTTCAAGAAAACAATTTTAATGAAATAATCTACAAGGAAATAGTGAATTGCTCGTAATGCTAGCCTGTGATGCGGCTTCTCTTCTCTCTCTTTGCACGCCTTTTTTTAATAAGATTTACAGGTACACGTCGGTCGATGTAGGGTTTCCTTATTTTCTTTAGGTTCGTAACCTTAAGATCCTTTACAGACAAAGTATTTTAGAATAAAAACCTTACCTCATATCTATTTATTTTGCCCGTATATTTTTGGAGTTTACTCCTTAAGAATCAATTTTCATATTTATATAGCCCGCGGTACACAAATTATATGGGGAGCAAAATGGAGTATTAATAAAATGTGATTTCGTTATGATGCCCTTCCGTGCAATACATTTGCGCATCTTATAGGTACTAAACGTGGCGTTACCGTGCACTGGCAGTGTAAGAATATCCACTAACCCATATCATCCCGTGGGTGTCGTAGGATCCGACAGAGGGAAACAAATCAGCAGATGGGCGGCAGCGCCTTTCTGATAACCGCTAAAAATAAAAAACTGCCGTTATCAACCCGCTTGCCAAGCGTGGCAACTGTGACAAATATCCCCCCTACGAGGCAATCTATGGGGGAGGCCCAGGTTCGGCAGTGGACAATAATAGGCTGTAATGGTAACAGTATACCGAACGCTTGTAAGTATATCAGAATGGATATAATAGTTTAATTTATTTAATAGTTCCTTTCATTCATACTGATAATTTTATGGTTAAAACTATAGACTTAGAATATATAAAACTATTAGTTATTTTTTGCTTAAACACAAAGATAAGTACTATGTAGATATTGTTATGTAAGTACGTGTTAGTTTCAACAAGATGAATAATTTATTTTCTTCAACTTAAACCAATAACATTACCTTATTCGAAAAAAATAAAAACTACACTAAATTGTGAATTCATAATTAATTTAAAATGGTCCCACAGCTTCTTAAGCAGTAAATCCCAGTCGTGCCTCGGAGCTGACACGCGCCATTTTTTTATTCAGTTAGTCGTTAATTTAATTGTTTTGTTTACCAACTTTTTCCGATTAAATATAAATATGTATAAAATGGCCGTTTTGTATCGTGCCGTAATTCATTCAGGTTTTCCACAATGGATCTTCCAACAATATTACATAGAGCGTATATCATATATATATATATATATATATATATATATATATATATATATATATATATATATATATATATATATATATATATATACTATACGAGTATTATAATCATTTATTACTATGCAGTACTGATGATGCTTTATACGCAGTCCACGCTAATATACCAATATTGGCACAGATAAATTGAGTTGACGTTGCAAGTTTTTAATTAAAAATTACTAAATTCAATCCCATTCAACCCCCAAAAGACACAAGTTTGAGTGCATACCGCCTTTTGTTGTATCTCCTTAATTTCCGCGCACTCCCCTTGTAAGCTAAGCCAGCATCAAAACCCTCGGCATCGCGATGTCGAGTGGCGTTCAATTCCGCGGTCACTTGGAAGGGGAGGTGCAATTGCCCTCTAGACGTAGAGCAGAACAAGGTGCAACTTTGGGCCTGAACTTATAATGATGTATTTTTATCCTCTCTGGGCCTTGGCCTTCCAATATCAGCTCCTTTCGCTTGACCGCATCCAGAAAGTAGCAGCCTGAAATGACGACCGAATTCTTTCTGATCGGCTTAATCCATTGGCACTTCGCAGAGATGTTGCAACAGGGATTACTCCGGGAAACTATTCACATTACTTCCAGCTGCAAAACTTCTCCATCGCGCACTGCGACAAATTTTTTAATACCATCTATATCATTTAAATGCATGGCAGTCAATGACGATTGTCTAGAATTTTTTTTCTTTTCTTCACAAGACTATATCGTGGAATCTGCTATCTCAAGTGAAATTCCCGGACCAAAACGACTTAAGAAACATCAAGAAAAGAGTCTACCCTTCCTCAAAGGCCGGCAACACGCCTACAATTCCTTTGGTGCTGCAGTTGCTCATAGGCATTGGTAGCCACTTACGTGCAGGTGCGCTGCAACACGTCTATCTCCTCTTTATATAAAAAAAAATCTACAAGAGTCATAGTTTACTATTGGTGTGAGCGAGCAAAAATTGGATAAAGCTACTCCATGAATTCCAAGTAAAGGACTAAGACGTTTTCCTTATGGTTTTGATGCTGTCACTTTCTGGAACTCAATTCTGTAAATCGAAATATATTATCTTTGTTACTTTAAATCTGGCTTTTCTAGCTGTTGTAATTATTAATTATTATAAAATCCTTCTTTTTTAAAAGTAGTAAATCACCTATTATTTTTTAATAAATTGATTTAGGAGAAAAGTACAAAAATTTTAACTGTCCAATTCTAACGCATAAAACTTATAAAGCGTGATGTTGGCGTAAGAAAATGTAGTTGGTGGGGT